GCCTATAAGATTTCTTTGGGATTCGTGCAGGATTAACCGAACTCCTTTAGGCTTCCCATCGGATTCCTACAGGAATCATATAGGATTCATAGGGTTCCTATAAGATTATTACAGGTTCGAATAAGGTTCCTATAGGATTCTTATGGGACTCGCACAGGATTCTTTGGATTCCCATGATATTCCTAACAAGATTCCTCGAACTCCTGTAGAATTTCTATCGGGAACCTGTGGGATTATTTTAGGATTCATAGGACCTATAGGATTCCTAAGAGGATTCATATAGGACCTATAGGTTTCGTATAGGAGTCGTATAGGATTCCCATTGGATCCCCATAGGATCCGCATAGGATCGCACAGGTATAGAATGCCCACGGGATTCCCGTAGGGTTCGTATAGGATTCATGAGATCCTTACAGGGTTCCCTTAGGATTCCTACAGGATTCATATCGGGTTCATATGACTCCTAGGGATTACTCGGGAGTCGTATTGGATTCATATGATTCCTGTAAGATGTTTATATGATTCTTCAGATTCCTATAAGATTCCGTTGGGATTCGCATCGGGTTCCTATAGGATTCTTATGGTATTCGTACAGAATTCATTGGATTATTATAAGATTCCAGTCGGAGTCCTTGGATTCCTCTGGGGTTCCTACCGGATTCGTATGGGATTCATACGATTCCTTTTGGCTGCCTATAGGCTTCCAATCGGATTCATATAGGATTCATTGAATTCCTATAGGATTCGCATCGGATTCATACGTGCCCTATGGGATTCCTATGGGATCATATAGGATTCATAGAATCCCCATTGGATTCTAAACGGGTTCGTACAGGATTCATCGGATCCTTATAAGGTTCCGATGGGATTCCTACAGGATTCATATAGTATGCATATGGTTCCTATTGGCACCCTACGGATTCGTATAGGGTTCATAAGATTCTCATTGGATTCCGTACAGATTTCTGCCATTCCTATAAGATTCCTGTTTGGGGTTCGTGCAGGGTTCATCGGATTCCTGTAGGCTTCCTATAGGATCCCCACAGGATTCATATAGGATTCATAGAGAGTTCCCGTCGGATTCCTATACAATTCGTATGGGATTCGTATGAACCCTCATAGAGTTCCTATCAGATCCCTGCAGGATTCATACAGGATTCGTGGGATTCCTATAGGAATCCGAAGGATACGTATAGGATTCGGAAAATTCCGATGGAATTCCGTACATATTCTTGCGGTTCCTATAGGATTCCTTCGGGATTCGTACAGGTTTCATATGATTCCTTCAGGCTTCTTACATTATTCCTGCAAAATTCGTGTAGGATTCGCGGGCATCCTGTAGGGTTCTTATGGGATTCGTATGGGGCTCCTATCGGAGTCTTATGGAATTCGTACAGAATCCACTGGATCAGTATAGGATTCCTATAGAATTCATAGGACTCCTATAGGCTTTCTATGGGATTCGTATAGGATTCATATGCGTATCATAAGATTCCTCTGGGATCCCCATAGGACCTATAGGGTTCATATGACTCCTGTTGGATTTGTATGGGGTTCTTATGGGATTCGCAGGGCTCCTATAGGATTCCTATTGGATTCCTAAAAAGGATTCGTATCCGAATCAAATGGTTCCAATAGGGCCCCCATAGGATTCATAGGATTCCTATGGGATTCGCAAGAAACCTATAGGATTCCTAAAGGCATCCCATCGGATTCCCAAAGGCTTCTCAGGATTCCCATACGACTCCTGCGGGTTCCGTAAGACCCCTATAGGATTCCTAAAGGCTTCCCATAGGATTCCCAAAGGCTTCTTAGGATTCCCATAGGAATCCTAAAGGCTTCCTATAGGATTCCCAAAGGCTTCTTAAGATCCCCATCGGATTCCTAGAGTCTTCCTGTAGGATTCCCCCCAAAAACAAACTTCTTAGGATTCCCATCGGAATCCTAGAGGCTTCCTATAGGATTCCCAAACAGGCTTCTGGGAATTCCAATCGGGCTCCTATGGGATTCGTAAGACTCCTATAGGATTCCTAGCCAGGCTTCCTATAGGATTCCCATCGGATTCCTAGAGGATTCCTTTAGGATACTGGGAACCCTAAAGGCTTCTTATAAGACTCCTATAAGATTCCTATGAGGCTTCCTATAGGATGTCTATCGTATGCCTAGAGGCTTCTTAGGATCTGTATGATTTCCATCGCAATCCTAGAGGCTTCCTGTAGGATTCCCATCGGAATCCTAGAGGCTTCCTGTAGGATTCCAATAGGAATCCTAAAGGCTTCCTGTAGGATTCCCAATTAGGAATCCTAAAGGCTTCTTGTAGGATTCCCATAGGAATCCTGTAGGACTCGCAGGATTCCCATCGGAATCCCATCGGACTCGTAGGATTCCCTTAGGAATCCCAGAGGATTCATAATTTTTCATCGGATTCCCATCGGATTCGTCGGATTCCCGTAGGATTCCCAGAAAGGATTCATAATTTCCCCATAGGATTCCCATCGGATTCGTCGGATTCCCATGGGATTCCCACAGGATTCTTTGGATTCCCATCGGATCCCTACAGGATCCATATAGTACCTACAGAGGATTCCCATAGGAATCCTACAGGATCCAGATGGGACCTATAAATGATTCCTATCGGATTCCTCCAGGACCTATATAGGACCTATAGAGGATTCCTATCGGATTCCTATAGGATTCGTGGGATGCCCATCGGGTTCCTATAGGATTCGTGGGATTCCCATCGGATTCCCATAGGATTCCAGAGCTTCGCTGGTGCAAACATTGCAACATGGCATGAAGGATGGATCCACCTCTGGTAGGTGGGAATTTTTAAATCAACCCGGACAGTTGTTGTGTTGTGTTGTTCCCATGGGGGGGGGGTCTGCGGACGCTCCCGGGCCTGGGGAGGGTCCCTGCCCCCCAAAGGACGAGAGCGCTGGAGGAGCCCGAGCGCTGGGGCCCAGGGAATGTCCCTGTCCAACAACAACAACGCAACAAGCAGAATTCTCACCACGGATTCCGTATTCAGCCACGCACCCAGGGACAATGAATGACCCTTCGGCCCCCTCACTCTGATATATCTCTGATATATATATATATATATATACATATATATATATATATATAGAGAGAGAGAGAGAGAGAGAGAGAAAGAGAGCCATGCGTATATATACATACGCATGCGTGTGCAGACACAACTGTCATAGCCTAGCCAAAAAATGCGACACACAAATATCGCCCAACTGATGGATCTCACACACAGAAACATGCGTGGGGACGGAGCGCAGCGACCCGTGCACACGGAGCTGCGCACCGACATGCAAGCGGGAAGGCGAGTGGATTGTCTTCCGGCCAGAAGCATCGAGCGAGATGGGGGGAAACAACCACTACTGAAGGGGCCCCAGGACACACACAAATAAATATACACACATAAGAAGATTCCCCATATTTTCCTATATTTTCTGGGTTTTTATCTTCCCCACCACTTCCCATATTTTCCCATATTTTCTGGGGGATCGACGATTAATTGTGTCTGTGTGTTTGTTTCCCTCCTGAACTACATCGAAAGTGCATGTCGCCCCCGAGAGGCCAGGTCGCCGTCCTTCCGCGGGGCGGCGGCCCGACAGGCTACGACATGGGCAGCGTGCTGCCGCGCATCGCATGGTGGCCCTCTCGGGAGCCTCTCGGGGCCGTCCCGGCGGCCACACTGCGGCACCATGGACGAAGGATTGCAAAAAAAAACCTGGACGAAGGATTGCAAAAAAAAACACATTGAAAAGGATTGCAAAAAACCCATCGTTCGTTCAAGAAAGGGTTTTTTTGCAAGGCCACATTGCGGCACCATGGACGAAGGGTTTTTTTGCAATCCTGTTTTTTTTTGCAATCCTTCGTGTCGTGGGCCTCCTTTGGGGCTCTCATGGAAAATTAACCCCTCATGGAAGCCTCTGCAGGGCGGCCCTAGAGCCTCGAGAGGAGCCCGACGTACGAGGAGGTAGGGGTGAGGAAGGGAGAGGGCGGAAGGTGGAGGAAGACGACGAGAAGACAGGGAAGAGGAGGAGGATGCGGAGGAGGAGGATGGAGAGAGAATGGAGAGAGGAAGAGGAGGACGGAGGAGGATGGATGGAAAGAAGAGGAGGATGAGGAGGAGGAAACACGAGGAGGATGGGCCGCCGCGGCGACCTCGCCCCCTCTACCAGGGGTTGCTCCTGCCGTGGCCTGCAGCCCCACCCCCACCCTCCCCCTAGATCCTCCCGAAGAGCCTTTACCGAGGCGCCCCTCGGCGGCGGGGCGGGAAGTGGGGGCGGCACAAAGAAAAGACAGGGCAGCGAATGGAAAATATCGAAGGTGAACACACCAAAGACAAGCAGGGTTACAAGAAGTCATGCGTTCAAGGAGGGCAAACCTTTCCTGAGGGAGAGGGGGAGAAAGAAAGAAAGAGAGAGAGACAAACAAGAAAAGGGAGAGAGAGAGAGAGAGCGAGAGAGAAGGAGGGACGAGATACGCCAGGTGCGCTCGCAGAGGAAGGGATGTGAGAACGGAGGAGGAGATGAGAGGATGTAAGATGGAGAGGAGGAGATGCAAGCATCGGGGAGGACGGGGAGGTGGGTACGATGTATGATGCACCATCATGCATGGACAAGAAAAGCTGTGCACAGGGGAGTCATCTGGGAGGGTGGCGAGGAGGACTGGCATTAGGTCGGGCATGTCCCCCCTACAGAGGGTTTTTTGGCCGAACAATTATAGAACAAAAACAAAACAAGATACCAAAGTGCTCCAACATTGGCACATCATCGTCCCAGACGATTTGTTCGACTATTTTTTGAACACTCCCCCTGCAGAGGGACAGGCCGTAGAGCGACAGGCCTGGCTTAAGACGAGCAGGACGAGGACATGCGAGCATGGATAGGCCACTGGCTCGATGACCGCCCACACGACACGCGCGCGGACAGCGGCCGCGAGGGGGTCGGCCGGCCGGCCCGCCCCCCTGCCGGGGGGGAGGCCTGTCGAGGCGCTCCTCCACCTGCCGCTCGGCGCTCGTCAGATCGGCGTCCTCCCCGCCACAGCACATGGCAGGCCGCCGCCGCCGCTGCCGCCGCCGCGCCGACGTCGCCGCCGACCTCCATACGTCCTCCTGCCCCCCTCCCTGCCTCCTCCTCCTCCTGACTCCTCATCCTCCCTCCTGCCTCCCCCTCCTGCTGCTCCCTCCTCCCGCCTGCCTACTGCAAGCTTATCCTTCCTCACCCTGCCTCCTCCTCCTCCTCCTCCTCCTCCGCCCTTTTCCTCTCATCCCTCCTCCTCCTCCTCCTCCTCCTCCACCTCCTCCTCCTCCTCCTCCATCCCCTTTCACCCAATCCTCCTACACCGCCTCCTCCTCCCCCTGCTCCCGCTGTTCCCCTCCTCCTCCTCCTCCTCCTCCTCCTCCTCCTCCTCCTCCTCCTCCTCCTCCTCGCCCGCCTTCTGCTTGCTTTCTGGGGTCCCTTTCTTGTACGGCAGCGCCTCGGACATGAACCTCCGCTGGCCCGAAAAAGCTTGGGGAGGGGCGCAGTCTTCCAAAGCTGACCGTGTGTGCGCCCTCGTCGCCGAGGCTTGCGACCTTCGGGAGGGGGGTCTACGAGGGCGAGTCCCAGAGAGGCGGTCGCAAATGATGGCCCGAGGCACGAGCGCGGGCCATGGGGGAGCCAGAGGGCGCCTTGAGAGAAGAATAGAGCGCCGTAACGCATGAGAGATCTCGTGGCTCAGAGAGGGGAGCATGGACCTGGAACTGGCGATACATCGCCGATGGATCGCCGTGGGCCAGCCCCCCCGTGGGCCAGCCACCCCCCGCGCCCCTTTCGGCACCACTGCTGTCCGACCTCGCGTCCGAGGGGGGCGCGCTCGGAGGCACAGCAGGCCGCGCACGCGGCCGATGCCGAGCTCGTGGACCACGGCGATCGGTGCGGACGACAAGTGGGAGATAGCACTAGAAGAAAACCAAACTGCAGAAACAGAAACCTTGAGGTCCGCACAGATTTCTTGGATCCGCGCTGGACCCCCATCACTGGCGGAGCGCGCCAGGGCTGGCGCCGGAGCTGGAGGCGCCGCCTTGGGGGGGGGCCAACCGCTGACTCAAGAAATTCGCGCGGAGCTCCGAAAGTTTGACAGTTTTTTCCCTTTCGAGGGATGCAGGAGGGCATGCGGGGGGGTTCAGCGAGCCAGCTCGCGCAGCTGGTTCTCCCAGCGTCGGAGGCGCCAGCGCAGCGAGGAGAGGCTCCCAAGCGGGGGGCCGGAAGCGCGAGGTACTGCATGGGGCCACGGGCGATCCCTGGCCCCTGCTTGCGGTGCGGCGGGGCACTGGGCTCCGCCGGTGCGAAAAGAATGCGACTTCGTCAGTCACGACTGGAGTCCTGGACCGCCCCCCCGCCTCCTCCTCCTCCTCCTCCTCCTCCTCCTCCTCCTCCTCCTCCTCCTCCTCCTCCTCCTCCTCCTCCTCCTCCCCCTCTCAAGGCCAAGTGTCACGGGGATTCCCTCAAGCGGTGACCACCCCCGCGGCTAAGATATTCGCAGTTTTTTTTCCGATGTGGCTCGTGGCATCCTCGGTATTTCGGCGGAGTCATCTTGCCTGCGGGCCCCTCCTCCCTTCTCCGTCCCTCCTCTACCCTCCTCCGTCCCTCCTCTACCCTCCTCCTCCGCCTCCTCCTCTTCCTCCTCCTCCACTCCTCCTCCTCCTCCCCTCCTCCTCCCTCCTCCCCCTCCTCTTCCTCCCTCCTCTTCTCCTCCTCCTCCTCTCCTCCTCCTCCTCCCCCTCCCCTCCCCCTCCTCCTCCTCCTCCTCCTCCTCCTCCTCCTCCTCCTCCTCCTCCCTCCTCCTCCTCCTCCTCCTCCTCCTCCTCCTCCTCCTCCTCCTCCTCCTCCCCTCCTCCTCCTCCCTCCCCCCTCCCCATCCTCCTCCTCCTCCTCCTCCTCCTCCTCCTCCTCCTCCTCCTCCTCCTCCTCCTCCATCCTCCTCCTCCTCCTCCTCCTCCATCCTCCTCCTCCCCCTCCTGGCCCATTGTGCTGCAGCACTGTTCGGGCAGGGCCGGGCACGAGATCTCTGGCCCCCGGGGGCCCGCAGCCGGGCGGCAGCACACCGGGTGCAGGAGGGGGGCCACGCCGGGGGCTCTCGGGGGCAGGGGCACCGCCCCTCTCGCTCTGCTTCGGGTGTGTGCTCCCAGTGTCGAGTCGGGCCTGGCCTCCTACACGGGGATTCTCGGGTCGGGCGAAAGGGGGGGATAGCAAAGGGGGGGTTTGAGAATCAGCTCGCGTAGCTGATTTTCCCGGCGCCTCCTGGCGCCAGAGGCGGCTATGTATCGAGGAATGGGCCCCTCGGTGGGGCCGAAACCAGCTACATGCAGCAAATTTCGTAAGCCCCCCTTTCCAAATCCCCCCCTTTTGTCCGGCCCGAGATTCTGGGCGAAAAATTAAACATGCTCAAGACATGCCCCAAACTGGTCTCAAGATCATCAGAAAGATAGTCCCCTGATTATTTTTCTCACCATTTTTGAATTTTCCTCCTGTAGAGAGACGGGCCCGACTGAATCCCAGTGCCTGGGGGCCAATCAATTTTTGGGCCACGGCGCTCGCGACGCCGGGTGCGCCGCCCGATAGTGCTCTCGCAAGGGAACAGCTGAAGGGGAGAGGCACAAGGCTGATACCCATCCGTAGAAAGGATCGACGGCACAGGAGAACCCCACGTGAATGGAGGCGGCCACCAAACCTATCGGATGGCCTCTACCAGTATGCTTTCGAAGGGTCATGCTCTTGACCCTGGGCGCCATTGGCAGTGCCAGCCTCGGCTCTGGAGTCAGGGGAGGAACCAGGGGGGAGGGGGGAGCGCTGCGGCACCCCCGCACACTGCAGTGGGGCCGCACAAGGCACCCGCATCATCACAATCGATCGTTTAGTACATGTTTGCCAGCGTGGACCATGAACCGTACATCATCGATCTGATGCAAAGTACTACGTGGTGCAGCGCAATGTAGTAGATCGTGAATTGTTAGATCCACTGTTTGCGCAAACATCCCACCCGCCCTTTTTGTATCCGGATACCCAGGCGGCCACGCTTGCGGATGTGCACAGGCTGTCGCACCCTTGCGGCCGCGGTGGCGAGCGCACGCTCGCGCGCGCAGCGCGGCCAACTGGTTTGAAACGGCTGATGCGGCCGCGATGGCGCTTTTCCTGTGGGAACCTCCCATCGCGTCTCAGAGGCCTCGCTGGCGGGCGGGCACTTCAGTGCGTGTCGGTGACTCGGGTGGGCTCGGTCTCATGATGACGTCGACAACGGCGGCAATGAACATACTACTAGCGATGGTGGTGGCGATGCTGACGAAGACGACGGCAAGGCCAATGACGGCGCCCATGCTGGTAACGACGATGACGAGGATGACGCCCATGCGGCGGTGATGAAAGTAATTGACTGATGATGGCGGCACTGGCGGCGATCGACGATGATGACAACGGCGGCGATGCGATGTCCCTGATGAGGGTGCTGATGAGGAAGTTTGCGCGCTCAGGCATTCAAGAAACCTGACAGACTGTTTCCTGGTGGACACTCGTCTTTTCATGTGGCGGAACCCTGAGATGTCTCGGACGCCATCTCTTTTGTGAGGGGATTCGGCACACCTGCGCGGCGGCGCGCGCGCCGCATGGTATCATCTGATACGGAATCGTGCACTGGACGCATGCCGCATCGGCGCAGATGCACCGCGCGGTGAGATAAGAATGCGGGGTCTGGATGAGATTGCTAAGATCACATGGCTGTCCGTTATGATGTCAGCGAGCGCGCGCAGGCAGAACCTTGGCAACATTTCTGGTGGTCAGCCTGGGCGAGCTTTACATTCTGCGCTTGGATGTTTGCAACACTGACGTGCTTGATATGGCTTCGACCTGTTCGCGTGCGAGTGGATTTGGGGCCGCCGTCTGCAGAGAATTCGTGAAGAGACGGGCAAGGGAGCGGGAGGGGCCATGGGGTGGAGGACAATGAGGGAGACGGAGGGGGAAGCTCCTCCTCCTCCTCCTCCTCCTCCTCCTCCTCCTCTTCCTCATCCTCCTCCTCCTCCTCCTCCTCCTCCTCCTCCTCCTCCTCCTCCTCCCCCTCCTCCTCCTCCTCCTCCTCCTCCCCCCTCCACCTGGGACCTGGTCCCACCGCGCGGGCCTCGCAACATCCCTCCTTCTCTGCCTCCCTTCCGCCTCCCTTCCGCCCTCCGTCCTCCTCCACCTTCCCAACGCCCTCATCCTCCTCATCCTCCCTCCTCCCTCCCGCCCCCCCACTCCTCCCAGTTGGGAGAACTTGCTGTCCTTATGTCCTCGGTGCCCGTGCAGCACTGTTTAGTCTAACTAATGTTCTGCTAGCTGCAGCGCCGTTTAGTCTCGACAAGCCGTATGCTTCAGCGAGGAGAATCCAAAATCCTACTCCTCCCTGCCCCCTGCTCCTCCCTGCAAGGGAGGACCCAGACCTCACCCCCATCCCTCTCCTCTGCCTCCTCCCTCCCTCCCTCTCCCTCTCCATCCCGAGAGGGGCCCGAGCCCCCTCCGACGCCGAGCTCCCTCGCACCCTGCAGCCGAGGAGGTCTCGTTGCTCTCCCGGGGAGGACCGGCATGGCCGAGATCCCTCCGTCGCCCTGCTTACGACGCGAGGAGAGCTGGCGCTCGGGATACAACTCGGGTCTCCAGCGGCCGGCAGGGACGATTCGGGCACCAAGGGGACGCTTTTGCGGTGAGGCGCGGCTGCTGGAAGGCATCCCGCCCCGCCCGGCAGCTGCTCGTTCTGGGGACCTTCCTGGAGCCGCTCGCTCTGCTCGTGCGCCGATGCTGCGTCGAACGTCCGTCGGCTGGAGCCGAACTGGAGGCAAAAGCCAAACGGGCCCGTCGGGTGGGCCCCAGGAGAGGTCCCCGCCCTAACGCCTAACGGATCTCTGATGAGGGGCAGCGGTAGTGGGGGGCAGCTCAGGGAGCGAAGCATCGACCTGGAGTCGGCGATACCTCACCGATGGATCGGGGACAGGCGGCCTGATTTTTTCAAGACGGCGTCCCTGGA